TGCTGCGGCGCCCGGGGAGCAGTTGGGGGTTCGGTGCCTTGCTCAAGGGCACCTCAGTCGTGGTATTGAAGGTGGGAGAGAGCGCTGTACATTCACTCCCCCCACCTACAATCCCTGCCGGTACGAGACTCGAACCCGCAACCTTTGGTTTACGAGTCCAACTCTCTAACCATTAGGCCACGATGATCTATGCTAAGCTACAGCTAAAAGTGCTACCGCCAGACCCGGAGATTGGCTGAATGGATTCGAAAACGGTAAAACTCAACTGTTTAACTCTAGGGGAGTTGGAAAATGAGCCTATTTTCAAAAATAGTGGAGTGTTCCTTTAACATGTAGATTTAACACATAGATGTCAGTTTGCTGTGCTCTGCTCAAGTGCATGGACATACTTGGCGAGAACTGTAAAAGTTTTCTATTTTGTATGTTGTCTGGCTGGTTCAGATGACCGTTGAATGTCTTTGTGTGATTTTTCAGTATTTATTTAATGCAAAGTCTTTTACAATCATACGTTCTGGTGCATGCACTCTCTTTTACTGTCTGTACAGAGACAATTCACACTTATATTTGTTTTACATAATTTTGTATATATCATGTGATGATTGCTGTATTTCCTAATTGTATGGTTCAAATCTGTTTAGTTATTGTCTCGGGGGGAATATTTCTAAAGGAAAATGCAATGAGATGTCTTTTGACCAAAAATGCCTGGTGAATAAATCTTATTGTTGGGATTGAGGAGTCTCTGTATTATTTGAATGAAGTTCTCTCAATTTAGTTCAAATGACAAAGAGGCTTACTTGTTGTTTTGTGCTTGGCATGGCTTTGTTTTGAGAATTAGTTTGATTTCTAATCAGATCAATTTTAAAAGGTCTTTCTAATCAGGCCCTTAAGCACTTAGAGCGGTAACACTTAATATTCTGCATATATTGTGAGTAGTATGCAAATTTGAGAGATATTTTAAAGGGAAAGTGTGACTCTGTGCCACTAGCATCAACAACCTATAAATGACTTGAATGTCTGTATTGTAAGTTGGGATAAGGGAAATTGTATTAATTAACACAGAAAAAATAGCATATCTCACCCTTTAAAGTGCTTTGTTGTGGAACTATGATAGCATCCAGTGATGTCATCTTGCATCACCTCTACAGCTGCTACAGTCATTGACTTAAAGGAATATTCCAGGTTAAACAACAATAATGTTGATATCTAAGACAGAATAGATTGCAAAAAATATGCAATATTATGAAACCTTATTTCAACCCTGGTAACTTTCACATGTTAAGGTTACCAGAAAGGGAGCCCTCTGTATATCGCTTTCCAACTATAACAATATTCCCAATGCTAAAAGGGCAATTTTGCAGGGTGCTTTCACACCTGTAGATCGATTGCTTTGTTCCGAAACAGGGATTAAAATTATTACAATGTTGCTTTTTATTCTTGGTGCGGTTTGCTTTCAAACGGTAAAGTTTCTAAATGGACCAAATTTGTTAATACAAGTCACGCGCGAGTAAACTGTTGTCTCATTGGTCAAAATTCCACGGTTTATTTTCCGGGATTCCACTTAGCTGTCACACATGTCATCCGTCAGGATGGAACAATAACAGCTTCGCGGGCTTATTGTTGGGGTTTTTTTGTAGTTGTCCTTATAATAATTTATCATTTTGAGCAGGAGTCCAGGATTGATTGGGAAAACATTTTTTAAATGCACCTACTACAAAGAAGAGCAATAAGACGGCATTATAAAATTAAAAAAG